TCCAATAAAGCAAAGTCACCGCAGATTTCTCACCTTTGCATACAAGAAAAAGCTGTATCAGATGACGGTTCTTCCTTTCGGACTGTCAAGCGCCCCGCTGGCTTTTGCCCGCGTCAGCAAGTGGATTGCAACCTATTTACGGGAAAAAGGTTTCAGAGTTCTAGTTTATTTGGACGACTTCCTATTTGCCCATCAAGATCCGAAAAAATTGGAGAGTCAGTTGCACTTTGCAATCGATCTCCTTCAAAATCTAGGTTGGTGTGTAAACCTAAGAAAATCTGTTCTAAAAGCAACTCAATCAATAGAATTTCTAGGAATTATTTGGAATACTGCCATAAACCAAAAAAGTCTTCCAGCGGCGAAGATAAACCGGATAACAAAAGACCTAGCAGAAGTTATAAAAGCAGGCATGTGGACTTGGCAATCAGGAACAGCACTAATAGGCAGAATAGGATTTGCCTCATTTGTAACTCCACTGGGTCGAATACACTCCCGAAACTTGCAGATAAGCAGTCGCAAACTCTCCCAAGACCAACCCAAACAAAAAGTTGTAGTTTCTACAAAAGCGTTAGCGGAATGCCTCTGGTGGATGCAGAAAATCAAAGCACCGGGTTTGATTTTTCTTCCCGAACCAAGAATACTTGTAACTACAGATGCCTCCAACAAGGGTTGGGGTATCCAGATAAACAATCACCATTTTTCGGGTGTGTGGAAAGACGAACAAGTGAATTGGAACATAAACAGGAAGGAACTCTTTACTGTTCTAATAGCCATAAGCAAATACCAACATATTATCCGAAGTCAGTCAATAATGATACAGTCCGACAACAAAACAGTGGTGTCCTACTTGAGGAATCAGAGTGCGCGGTGCCCTTGGGGGCCTCTTCAGTACCTACCTCCAAAAGCCGGCAAGGGCTTGCTCAGGTCAAGCCTCGGCAAGACCTGAAATAATCGTTTTCTTCCCTTCGGGGTGGAAAACGGTTGTATTATCACCCTGACTATGCAGCCGAAATTGTTATTGCATGTGTGGCACTGCATAACATGCTCATTGATTCGACAAGAACCCCTACAGACCAGGATGCAGGAGTCATTTTGTCCACTGCCCTTCCACAACCAATTGTTGAAAAAGAGCTGGATGTGATAGAGGGGCAGACTGTTAGAGTTAGGCTAATTAATAGGTTTTAGTCTGGTTGAAGAAGCATATTACAATTTTAATAACAAAAAAAGAAAAATTATAAACAGAATTATAAACAAACATATCATTTGTAAAAATATCACACTCTAATAAACGCAGTAATCGACGACCAAGTTTACTTATTCTACCAAAAGTTCGAACTAACTATGGTGCAAAAAACATAATTTTCGAAGGAGCACAACTTTACAACAAATTACCGTCTTCTATTAAAAATGTGAACTCACATAATATATTTAAATCAATGTTATCGCAACATATATTAGAAAATTGTGCAAAATATTTATAATACTGAATATCGGCGACAAGTAAGGTATTATAAATGCAATATTCTCATGTACTTTTGAGAATTAAAGTCTTTAAACCTTAATCAAATCATTAATAAAGGCAAAATTTAAGAAGAATCAGGTAAAGGCCAGGAATACAATTGTACAAAGCCATTATAGATTTGCTACCTTTGAGAAAAAAGGCAATCTTCGGAGGGAAGTTGGAAGAGGAAGAAATAGTTAGTTAACTTTTAGTAGCCATGCCTTTTGAATATGATAGTGTGGTGTCCGCAATGGACATAATTTGTAACAAAGATAAATCTACAGTGACACTGGAGTATGGGAAAAACACATTATTAACCGAAGAGGTACTTCATGTCAAAATATGTGTCCAGATTTATCTCAATTGTCAGGTGCATTAGCTGCAAAGACAGCATATGCCAGGAATGCCAAGCATTATATTAGCCTCTAGAGTATTATTTATGCAAAGTCTGTCACAAAAAGACTTCCAGCACCTTTGTGCTTCTAATGACAACATACATACAACTTTTGTTGTTATTTGAGATCAATTATTTCATTGCTATTGTTAACATTGTGCACCTATTCACGATATTGTATATTAAAAAAATAAGCCAATTTAATTATTTGTCTAAATTGTTATCAAATTAAATGTTTTTTTTTTTGTTAATGTTATGTAGGTGCCTAGAAATTATATTCTAGAACCCTGTAAATATTGGATTCACGCACCACTTTTATTTCATACACCACATTGGCAACGAGGATAAAAATCAGTATGGTTAAGTTGTAAAAGTTGGGAATTTTCTGTTTACTGGTAACTGTTAAAGATCCTTGTAGGTCTATACCATAATTTTATGTGACTAATTCCATTGAGCCAGATAACTTTGTCGTTCTATAAATTCTATTTTTAAACAACTCTAGTAATAAATAACTTAAAAACATTTACGGCATTATTTTTAATGAGAACAAGATGGGCATAATTTTATTTTATTTAAATCTAAACAAGCGCCGTGGAAATTATGACCACATTTAAAAGTCCATAGACCGCCATCTTTTATTAAAACCTCATTCTGTAACGGTAAACCACAAAGAGAACAATCACTTACCCCTTTAAATAATACAATTGTGTTTATTAAGATTTCTTGTAGAGGTATTTCTTCTTCCTTTTTAATAAATAATCTATCTCGAAGTTTCAATCCCCAATGATCAGACATAGCAGCAACTGTCAATGGTAACGCTGTATTTTTTACTTCACCATTTTTAGTGCATTTAAGCAATTTGCATATCTGAAAAAGCAATAAAAAAAAGTTACACACTGTTAAATTAATTCTAAGAGATATCCTTAGTGTGTAATATACTAGTAAAATGTAACAGTAGCTTGTAAATAAACAAGAATATAATAAGTAAGTTGGTGTCTGTTGTCAACAAATTGTTGAGCTGTTTGGCGACATTATTTCTCAAACATTATATACGAGCTGTTGTCCGCGACTTCGTCCGCGTGGTATTAGAAAACATACGAACTATATAAATTACAAAAAGCTACGTATCCCTCGGGAACTGGACATTTCTCTGGGATGAAGCTTATCTCATGTGTACTCCAGACTTTGTTTTATATCTGTGTCAAATTTCAATAAGATATGTTGAATCGTTGCAGAATGATCGAGTGAACATTAAAAAACTAAATTAATGAATCCCACGGGAACCGTAACTATTCCCGGGATAAAAAGTAGCCTATGTGTTCTTCCAGACTATGCTCTAAACCTGGGTCAAATTTCATGGAGATCCGTTCAGCCGTTTAGGCTACAAACGCTAACAAACATCCATCCATATAAACTTTCGCATTTATATTATTAGTAAGAAGTAAGATTTTCTTGTGTAAATAAACAAGTAAATAAAAAAATGTAACTGGCACTAACCTATACATACGTATACTAGAGAAATAGTACAGTATTCCAGTACACTACTATACAGGACAAGAAATGTCGATTCCTTTAACATGGATGATAGTAACTGGCATGATAGTAACTGGCATGCCAGTTAGTGTATACTCATGTCTATTGGTACCAAAGTTTAGATGGATGTATGCATTAATGGTATGGATGGATTGATGTTTGTTAGAGTTTGTAGCTTATACGGCTCAACGGATCTGGATGAAATTTGGCATAGATCTAGGGCATAGTCTGGAAGAACACATAGGCTACTCACTTTTTTTTTAATTCCATGCGGACGGAGCCGCGGGCGAAAGCTAGTGCATGCATAGAAACTATACAAAAATCTTATATATACTAATATTAAAAAGAGAAAAGAATTTTATTTTTGTATGTATTTAAATAACTTTAAAGTACTGGCCTTATTAAAAAAATAACCATTAGCAAACTACGTTATCAGTGAGAAACATAGGGTATTTTTTTTATTGTTTATTGATTTCACGAAGACGAACCGCGAACAATAGCTAGTATTAAGTAAAGTAAAAAATAATTACCTCCAATCTAGATTCTTCAAATTCATAAGAACTGTATATTGTATCGACGAGTTGTGGTACAATTGTGACGTCATACTTCTCATACAAACAGGCCAACAAACAAGAATGGTAGAACTTTATAGTCAGAGAGCCCATGTCTATTAAAGTGCTGTGCTTTTTCATCAATTCAATTGCATTTTTCCCTCCAACTGATTTTATTATCAAAGAACCCAAATCATCCCAACTTAGCATAGCTTTAACTGATATATGATCGAATTTCTTGTTACAATTTAAACACATATTTGCGTGTAAAACTGCATACAATTGGATCGCACGGTCCCACGTGTCTAACGTAAATTGTGGCAAGAAAGAATGTAAGAGAGATTCATCTAACATTTGCAGTAAAATTCTTAAAACATTCAACAAATCTTCATTCCTTCGTAGATATAAAATCTTTCTCCACAAATATGGCATCTTTTTACAAATCTCATAGCATTGTTCTTTAGTTTGACACGACCATTGCCTTTCTATAAACTCATCAATCAATTCCGAGTAAACTGGTATCTCATTGGTTCTAGCAAATGGTAAAGGAAAACCGCATTCACAACCAACATTCGACAGTTTACGTGATTTCACATTTATTGATATGCAGGAATCTACGAAATATTTGTATAATACTTCATCATTTATAATAGCATCTAATAAATCGCATTTGTTCGTTGAAAGGCATAAATATGTTAGAAAAATATCATTAGGAACGAATTTTGATTCATCTACAGCCCCTACTGATATACAATATTGCTCCAAAGAAATCATTAGTTCATAAACTTCACTAATATCACAGGCTTTACTTTCAATTAGAGAGGTTAAATTCGTTTTCTCCATTTCCTTATTAACTAAGCTTAATCTATGATATTGATAAAGCGACCTGCTTATTCTATCACTGTCTGTTGTATTATTGTCAATTTCTATGGTTTTATGACTAGAATCTTTAAAAACGATATCCTCGTCCAATAGTAATGGATGTTCCGTTAAATCTTCAGGAATTATCTTTCTTGGAATTATTTCTTGTACATTCTTTAATGGTACTTCTTGTATACTTTGTCTTTCTGAATTAAATTGTTTAACTTTTTCTTCTATGTCTTCCCATTTATCTTTTAATATCTTTTTGCTAACTGTTATTTTATCTGATACCGCATTACTAAGACCTTTCAATGCTAGTAAAGGGTCGGGCTGCACTGTATACGTTTCTTCGTTAATATCTGATTTTTCTAAGGTTGTTTGCGCATGATATGTGTTATCAACAACATAAATGCCTGATTTCATTTGAGTCGCGTCACTCAATTTTAAACTATCAAGCTTTTCTAATAAATCTTTAATTCTATCCAATGATCCATTGCTTAATTTGTCCTTCAATCCAACTAAAATATGCAACTTCGGTGGAACACTTGATAGCAAATAATCATGATACAAAGCACATAAATCCGCACATAGTGTATATTTTTCATCTAAATAACATTGAATTAAAAACTTATGCAGTTTCATAAATCTTGTACAAATCAGAGATCCATTACTGAGCCAAATGTATAACAAATCATGGTATATCTTGCAATCTATAATATTATCATATTTATCAAACCATAAAGTATCATCTAAATTATGAACATTTAAAAAATATAAAGCTTGTCTATTGAAAGAGAATATGGCACCATTTATAGAGTATAGTTTGGGAAAAATTACAGATTGTCCGTTACTATTTTCATCTGAACTTTCAATTGTGATGTTTTCATTATTAAAAGAATCTGTTGTGACTTTCATTGGTTGTTTAGCTAAAACTTGTTTAAACTGATGGGTTCTCCGCACCATACCATCAACTGTCGCTTCCCATAATCTAGAAGATGGTCTAGCGCAATATATGAGGGTGTTTGAAAATTGCTCTCCGACAGTAAAACCTAATTCTCCATCAACAATACTATATTTCTTTACTTCAGTATAATCTTGTTGACTGTTCTCTAGTTCTCCGTTCAAATTAGCTTTATCTTTTGTTACAAAACAAGCACCAAATTCACCATCTCTAAGTTTTTGTCCAATCTGTCTGTATTGCTCTTGAACAATATTACAAATATAACAGCGACTGAGAGTTGATACAAGTAACATACAATCTTTGGCGTCCAATTGACAAATTCTCGAATCGAGACATAAAATTATTTGAGACGAGCTTTGAAATATTGTTTTAGCCTGTAATTGAGAGAAAAATATATGTTAAAACTCAAAAGCAACGAATTTCTACTGCACCGACTCAATATATTGTAAAATTTATTAAATTAAGAAGACATTTAAACTTTCAAAATTTTTCTTGAATTTTAGAGGCTTTGCCATTACATTTTAATTATACTTAGACAATATTCCAAACAGTATTATAAAGTAACATTATATATAATAAACATCAATCATCAATATTCAAAGATTGAAACTTGTGTCAAATCTAACTGTATTTTATAGTAATGAAGTAGGTCAAAGAATGGTACTTTAACTAAGGTATTGTATAGTCTTAATATTAAAGATAATATCAAAACTATAAAACATGCATTATTTATTAATGTTATAAAAAACTTACAATGAAACTTTGTAATTGAAGCACTGATACTCTTCCAACATCATCACCAGTAAAAAGCATGTTCCCGCACCAAACCATCGCTGTGATTTCGTTGCCATGGTGATCCTTAGAGGTCGCAGAGGAATGCCCTCCGCTGAGAGTTTGATCACAACCAGTGACGGTAACTGTGCCTTTCCCATTTGCAAATCCAATATGTTTTTCATCAGGTGATATTGTTAAGCGAGTTATTGGACCATCCTGAAAATGTTACAAGACAATAACAATCAGACTTATCTAATACCAGATATTCAGTAGAAATAGAAAAAGATGTTTGAGTGAATTGGGAGAGTTTTATTGCAATAACCTATATTAATATATTATTTCATTATTATAAATGTAAAAGTTAAAGTGGATAGATGTTTGTTACTATGTATATCTAGAATGGCTTAATCAATCTCACTAAAATTTGGCATAGATGTTAAACAGACTGAAAGAACACAATTTTTTTAATTCCGCAGACAAAGTAGCAGGCAACAGCTAGTAATACTATGAAGAAAGATTTACATTTTTAATCGACTTTATCAATTTATCTCATTTTTTAAATGTAATTAAAATAAAAACTACTGAACTGATTTCAGAAATTCTTTAATCATTAGAAAGTTACGTTATTACTGGATAACATAGGTTACATTTGTATTAAAAGAAATTATTGTATTGATGTGGACAAAGCCATAGAAGGCCAGTCATAGAGTAAAACAATATAAGAATAAGTATAAAAGGCATAAATTGAAATGTCATATATTTCAGACATTGATATCCTACAAGTGATGGGATCCATTTTTTTTTTGTGAAGTAAGCAAACAAACTTCATGAACATTGAGGCAATCAAAATGGCCACTGCAAATGATCAAATTATACAAAAGGATGAGAGATAAAACTAATTAAACATTGTACAAACCTTATTTGGTATAAGCTGAACAAATTCACAGGGACTTCTGTTATACACATAGATACCTCCACTTGTTGCACCAAACGCTATCAATGATTTTGACACATCAAAACATGTAAACTGAAAAATAATTAAAATACAATTATTTACAATTTACAAATAACCAAAATAAGGTTAAATGTGGATGGCTACACAGGTGATAGACAGAAGAAAGCATAGATGGATTGTGTCAAAAAGGATATGCTTAAGTGAGTGAATTCAGACTGCTGATAGAGATGTAAGTATGAAAGAGGAGTACTGTGCTGACCTTCTGCAATGGCAAGAGTAGGTTGATGATAGCAAAAATACTTCCACTTACTATGTAAATTATCTATATTAATATTATAAAGAGGAAACATTTGCACTTTTGGATTTTTGCATTTTTTTGATTCATACAAAAACTGGGCTGATTTAAAAAAATATTTAATTAATTTATCTGGCATAGGATACATTTTATTATTACTAATGTTTAGGAACTATTGATAAACAGCGTATTTCTAGAGCCCGGCGTTAAATAATCACAATGTTTTAATTTTTCTCATGAAGAAATTGTAAATCTTCAAAAGTTCTACTGTAATGTCCATGGTGGATTTTATCTTTAATTAAAAACCACATGCTATTTACATTGTTGTTTTATTGCTTTCAATATAAATCCTTATCCAAATAAATGTCTTTATTATCAGGAGAATTTAAATTAGAATAAATTTGTCCTTTTCAGTATCTAAATTGGTCAAATACTTTAGAAGATATCGCCAACACAAACGATAAGGATAACCGAAAAATTTGGAATTTTGCATCAGTAGATTTCTGTTAATACGTAGATTACTACTAAGTTAATACGTATTAAGAAGGCTTAATAGTAATGGTTGAAAAAAAAAGGGCAAACGTAGGTCTTGAACTTTTAAACATCACGCGGACGAAGTCGTGGACAACAGCTAGTAAGTTTATAAATAGATATAAAGAAAAAAAACGATACAATAACATCAAGAGAACAATTTTAGTATAGTTTGAAATCTACCGAATACAATCCTGAGATGTCTTTTAGCAATTTTTGATATTTTGCCAATAATTACCTACCTTAATACGATGCACATTTTTTAATGGGTAATTTATAACATCTGTAATATCAGGAAGTTCTTGAAGTATATACGGAGGAAATTTACAAGTCATGTTTTACTTGCATTTTCTTTTCAAAATTCACAATAACATTATTTTAAACAAAATAAAACATTAAATTATCTTGTCACTTTCATAACCTAAACTTGAATGCATGACAGAATGTAACATAGAGCATAAACTAGAGTACACAATGTGCGGGTTACACCTGGCCAGTACAGTTAACAGATAGCTTGGGCGTGGTTAGGAATGACTAAACTGTCTATCAACTGGCACCACCACTGGAACCACATGTTGCTCATTTAACAGAAGTATTATTTGGACTGCGAATCAGGAAATGAGCGCCGTTTTTAGATATGTGGTTTTTAATCTGTCAACATTTTTCAATGTACATTTTTGCGATTTTTGAATAAGAATGTTTTCTGTAAGACCGGAATGACTATGGCGAAAATAAAAAAAAGCATTCCGATGTCGGAATGCATTTACACTTGTAAAAAAAATAAATTGACTGAAGGGTAACTTAATGTGGGATTTTGGGGTTATAAAATTAGTGGTAAAAAAAAATCAACTGCTACCTGGATCTCATTGTTACTGAAGTCTTAAAGTCTTGAAGTCCTGAGTCCAAGGTTATTAGGCTGGCTTAATGTGGAAAAGCAACGCCAATACAGTTCTGCCACAATACTTACCAACTGCACTGGTCCAGTGTGATCTACGTATCACTGGCGCCAGATTTTGTTTAAAAAAGCTAATATAAGCCAAGTAAAAGCTAGATTAAAAGCAGTCCAGTTGTTGAGCGCTACTGTCCAACTGTTCTAGTGTGGACCAGACATCAAAGAGCAAGTAATGAAAAAATACTAAAGAAAATCTACGGTTTTCAACAACAGTCGAAAAATACTGAAACACTTAAAATTCACAGCTGCGGGTATTACAATTTAATATCGACTTTTGCAAAATGAAAGTCAACATTTTTAATATTTCCTTAATCCATGTACAGGTGTTTACTTATAAGCGTAAGTGACCGTTTTAACTGTAGGTCGAACTGTGCAGTTAAAACTGAATGTAGGGGCTTTAAGAAAGTAACAAAAAAAGTATCATCATCACCAGCTCATTATATGTCCTCACCGAGGGGCTCGGAACCTACCCTAAAATAGGGTGACTAGGCCATCGTCAACCACGCTGGCCCACTGCGGGTTGGTTGACTTCACACATATCTTTGAATTTCTTCCCCGATATGTGCAGGTTGCATCACGATGTTTTAAATCACAAAAAAAGTATATAATATGGAATTATTAGTAGCCATAAAAGTAAAGTAGTTTTTAATTTTTAGGGTGAGATACATTTAATGAATGTTATAAACATCTTATGAATAGAATTTAATACAGACAGAGCAAGTAAAAAATTGTATTAAACATTATAAGCCACTATTATTATTCAATGTTAGCATTATAACATTTTAAGATCAATTTTAATCGTATCAGAACCTGCCGCGTTTTCAGCCAAACAAATGTACGATCCTTCGTGCGATTTTGATACATTTTCTAAAGTGAGGTCATTTATGGAATTTCCCCTGAAATAAAAGGTAAAATACATCATTTCTATTTTTTTTATTTATTTTATCCTAAAGGCCTGTCCCAACAAATTGTCAATTGTCTTATAACAATCCAACATGTTAAACATGTGATTTTGTTTTCTTATCTGACAGTGGCGTCGTTTTCAAGTTATATGAGCCTGTATCAGCCAGTCTTGGGACAGGTCCATAGTAAACTAAATCATCATTTACCTTGACAAAGTCGTGAGAGTTGAATTAAGTGCTATAAATTCCCATTTAGTCGTAGGGAGAGGATAACCGAAGTGCACATTACACTGTAATGTTACCGTTTCACCAGCTCTGATCATTATTACTTTGCGTGGCGGTGGATCAATATACGGAGAGACTGAAAAAAAAAATTACCTTAAGTCGACTTATCTACTATTAACCTGTCGTTACGACCGGGTCATGGGCGGAGTGTTTCGCGTGTACAATTTTATCCATCGCCTACAACAACTCTTTTAATATACTAAGCTGTATTGTTTTAACCACTTTCTTGAAATTTCATTGTTTTTCAGAGTATTTTTATAAGTATTTCTATGGTACATTCGCGGAAATCCGCGGAGTTCCACTTTAGAAAAAATTGCCTTGTCCAATGCAACAAGACAAACTCCGCCACATCCTAGAAATCAACTAATAAACACAGTTAGTGCAAACGAAGGGATTATAGTTAATAAAAAAATAAATAGCCGTGTATCAGTAACCGACTTTTTTCGTACAGATATATTTATAAGCTGAGTTGCATTGATTATTCCTTCTCGTCGCCTTTTATGTGTTCAAACTATTGCAGCTCTTAAATTGGAACACGGTCAGTTTCCCCGACTGTACATTGAAAAGCGTTTGACGCTTATATTTTTCATATTGTCACAAACTCACCCAAAACATTCAGTGTTACAATTCGTTCCGCCCTTCCTAAAGAGTTCTCTGCGATGCAATAATAGTTTCCTGAGTCTGTGGATAATGCTCTAAACCTAAAAACCAATTATTATAACTATCGTATTCAATAAATAAACTAACGACCTCATAGTTACAGATAGGAAGGTTTTTTTATAATATAAGGTGGCAAACGAGCAAGGGGCCACCTGAATCCACCGAAATGGCAAGCGACCGCTGTCCATAAATATCCGCAATTGCAGATGCGTTTCCTACCCTTAAATGACGGTGGAGGATACGCATATAAAAAGGCCATTTCCCTTTCCTATGTGTCTCCTCCACCGTCAAATCCACTTTTCCTTCCCATCCTCTCTTAAGGAAAGAAAAGGGAAAGGGACTAAAATTAGGCCTACGGCATCACACTCATCAGACGAAACGCGGTATTGCTTCCATTTCACGCCTGTTTTCAGTGTGGTATTTTAAATTATTTCTTAGGCTAAATCATCATCAACTTGTTCTTCTCGGATGGTCGGCACAGTATCTACTCTTCCATATATTTCTATCGGCCGTCATAATTGAATTCACTCCCTTTATAAGCATATCCCCTTTACAAAACCCATCCATAATTCGGTCCTGTACCTTTGTAGCCATCTACATTCAAACTTAACACTTTCTGGTTTATGTCTGCATCGTCTCGTCGTATAACATGTCCGTACCACGCTAACCATAGACTAAATAAATAAGTGTATTAAATTTGAATATCAACTACCTGAGAGTGTTCCACTCATCCGTTTCGTGTCTACTATCAAGAGGTATGACAACATTATTTTGTTTCTTTTCCCATCTTACATCCGCTTTTGGTATAGCATCGACTTCGCAAGCTAATTCAACATCTTCGTCTCGTTTTACTGTCTTCAATTTATCAGAAAAATTTATTTTCGGTGGATCTAGAAAAATGAAAGCAATAATATAATTTATAAGACGGCTAAAACTCACGTGGGAACTTTCGGTGTAGGCACCGACCAGTTTCAGACCCGTCGGGGGTCCTTCTTCAGGGTGAGTCGTTACCGGATTTATTCGCTATCGCGTCGCGACGGTCACAGACGGTCAGTTTAAGCCGTGTTATAAATTATATAGTATAATGTCTCACGGAAGTTTTAATAAGTTAAAAGCAAAAATGTTTAGCTTAATTGTCATTCAAAATAAAACCTACCTTATCGAATTTCTAATTCCTTTGACTAAACTATCGCATAACTGTTTAGTCGCGCATTGATTCCTATCAGCTTACTTTGTGCGCTCACTACTAGATTTTTACCTGTGCAAACAGTTAAATCGGCTACGAAACAATTGACAACCGACAATCGTACAACAGTTTATTCAAAGATGTACGTCCGCTCTAACCATAAATATATGAAAATTTAGTGACGTGCAATTTGCACCATACCCTTCGTTACCATTTTAATTATTGGATTATTAAAAACTAGCTGTTGCCTTCCACTTCGTGCAATTTTAAGATAAAATGTAGCCTATTATACGTTCGTTTATGTCAGCTACCCTTTAGTGAAAGCCCGGTCTAAATCGGCAGCCGTTTCGGAAATTACCCGGAATATACATGGCTTACGGACAGACAGACAAAAAACAAAATCAGCAAAGCAAATACATCACTCCATTTTTATTATACATATGTGTAGATAATGTGAAATTTAATACTTTTGTTACTCACATTCAACTTTAATAAACAATTCCTTTGAATCCGAACCGAAAATGTTCTTAGCTTCGCATTTGTAGATACCAATATGCTCTGTCTTGATTGACGTGATTTTAAGATGATTTTTTTCAACACTAACCCCTCTAGGGACATCTTCGTAACCATTTTCTGTTTTGAATTTCCAATTCACGTCTGGTACTGGTTCACCTTTGTTAATTCTAAAATTGTAACATACAAGGGAAATGAAAATGGATGTCATATATTTTAATATGGACAATTTGTAATTACAACTTGCAAATTGTAATTGACTAAGAAAGCAAGCTTTTGTAGAAGGGATATTATTCTTACCCGACTGGGTAATTAAACTGAGCACCGTCTTAATCTTAAAATCAAATCTTACTAATCTTACTTCTTAGTATTATATTTTAATATTAGTATTATAAATGCAAAGTTTAGATGGACTGTTATGGATGGATGGATGTTTGTTAAGAGAGAGCCTAAACGGGTGAACAGCTCTTGGTGAAATTTGACATATGTAGACGTAGAGTCTGAAAGAACACATAGAGTTTTTTCCCTACGTGTTTCCACTTTTTTTATAATTTCACGCGGACTAACATGGGGGCGAAAGCTAGTATAATATAATACAATTAATTAGATACTTACGAGCATTCAATATCAACCATATCGTCTAAACGGAACACGAGCTCGGAATCCTTTAATTTTATTTCTGGCAATTCTGTAATGATATTGAAAAAACATTTAATTTATTTACATATTAGAAAAAAAAAACGTTCAGAACGGACGCACACCTTTGATTAAACCATCGCACAACTGTTGTGCGATTGTCGATTGTCTCGAAGCAAATTCAACTTTAGTTGTGCAACTGAAAATCAAGTAGTGTGTGCACGTCCATATAAAAGTGATTTAAGCGAGACTAAACAGTTGTGCGATAGTTTAGTTTCAGGTGTGCGCACTCTCTTACAATACACATAATACGTTTGTACATTTATGAGATTTCATTCTTCTAATGGAAAATTTTTAATCAAAGAAATCGATAAAAATAAATGCCTTCTTACCAATTCCTGATATATCTACTATTGCGGTGTAACTCTTATTTTGAATTTTATTACTAATTTCACATCTGTACTCTCCTGTCAATTGTGGAGTCATGTATTTTAATAAGAGCATACTTTGATCATTTACTATTTCTAAATTGTCTGTATTTTCAACTAACGAATCATTATGATACCATTTTATAGATGCTTCTGGATATGCGTCGACTTTACAAAAAAGTTCACCCTGTGTGGTGTATTCAAATGTAACATCTGGAATAATAATGTTATACAATATTATTCTTTATGGTATATGTTGACGGAAATGTATGAAATCCATCATTGTACATAATTCCTAGGCAATGTATAACTCCTAAAATCGCTTATTGAGAACCCACATATGCTATTTTATTTATAGAAAACATTGTTTTCATGCCTTATTTTGCGATTTAGGAATTCCATACAATTTCTAGCAAATGTGTAAATACCAGGATACGTGTGTATTTAATAATCTTTGAAACATTTTACAAATTGCCAAAACAACTTCGAAACTCTATACTCTTCCTAGACAAAGTATACAATTCCCAGTTATCACACATTTCCGGTAACATATAGATTAAAAAACGACAGTTGTGCTATCTTTCTTACCTTCAGGATATTTTATAACTTCAAATGTTAGTGTTCTATTGACAAAAAGATTCATAGACAAAGTATCTTCACCTTTAGAGGACACGGCGTTACAATTAATTGTACTATTATCGGTCACCTTATTAATATATGCATAGCTTATAAAAACTGAACGTGTCTCGAGTAGAGCATCCTGAAAATAATTCTTGTATACTTTTTAATACTGCAATGAAGTCATGTACAGTGGCGCTATTGCCGACTTTTGCGACATTAACTAATTATTACTTCAGATGTTAATGAACATTTTAAATCGGCTGAAGTCGCGGCGGTCATCTAGTGTTTATTATGCCCTTTACTCATGATCAGTTTTATCTGAACTGTCTGATCGTTTAGAAAAAACTGAGCGTGTATAGCGGGCTTTACATTAAGGAATTCTAAGATACTAGCTGTTTGCGTGCGGATTCATCTGCATGAAATTGTAAAAACTTAATTTTATTGTTTACGTTTGTCAAATTATCAATAGCAAATGTCAAAATGAAATGACATGACACACGTTAGCAATCTTTCATTCTTGATGTTGGTAGCAACTTATGGTCTCGTTCCCACGTTAGGGTTTTTATCCAAAATATTTACACCCTTAGTTTAATGGCGTGAAAATATATAGCCTAAAGCATGACGTAAGTGTAGGGCTTTTTATTAAAAAAGGAATTATTCAAAAATATGCTGTAATTGCTGACATCTTGGGCAACAAAGAAGTGTGTGTTTACGTTTTATTATAATAGTATAGATATAGATTCGTTTTAGCATTATAATGTTTTTAAAATAATTATTAATTATACGAATGACGTATTTGCAACAAATAACTATAGAGATAAGAGTAATTATTAGTAAAAAATAGTAATAAAAGCGCTCGATACTCGATTTTAATTAATTTCTGCACTGCAACTATCAGCTACTACGTTTGTTTTTGAGAAGATAACAACATTGAAATTTCCTGTCCAAAGCCCAACTAATGAAGTTAAAATAAGGAAGTTTTATTTAAAATTGTTATCGTTATTAAGCTATAAAAAGAGTTATATTTTAACTTTTGACATGAAAAACAACTATTATCGATTACCTAATAATGTGTAATTATTATGAGTAAAAACAAATGACAGTCACCTCCGGTGAGATAGGTTAGAGGGATGCCATACGAGCATTGCGTTAACGGCACGAAGTGGTCACTTCACGTTATAACTTATAAAATAATGCCTTAGTTATATACATTTTAAGCTTTTTTACCGTTTGTAATTCACTCAAAGTTTCCATTATTAAATTAACTTATTCAACAAAAGTGTTCCTTCAGATATGAAGCGGAAAACTATTTATTTAAGGTAGCATACGATAATTTAGATTCCATACCTCAGAAGGAAACGTGTTCCCAGTGTCATCGGACCAAGAGATTGTTGGTTTAGGATAGCCGGACACTTTGCAGGCGAGGGTAATGTTAGCCTTGTATTCCACTAACGTAACTTCCGGTTCAATCCATTCTATTTTCGGTTTTTGGATCTGCAGTTCTTGAACTGTAATTACAACACTCATTAAAATAACTACTGACAGTATTAACAAGCTTTTTATTATAATTAAAAGTCAAATATTCCTGTTAAATTAATTGCGTTCTAAACACCATTTATTTATGTAATAAAATACTGGATAATAAGCTCAAAACCTACTCTGGACCGATTTCAAAAATTCATTTATTTAATGTTATAAAATGTTTAAAAACTAAATCGCCAGTACTTGTATTTGTTCAAGCGTACAAGGCCGATAAGAATTGTAAAAACCAATTAAAACCTACTTGGTTTTTGTGGAGTTAGTGTTCCCGTCGATCCTTTTATGATTTGATAGGATTCATCGTGACCGTAAATCTGAAAAACATTAAATTAATACAAGTATATTAAAAAGAAAAGAACATTTAACATCCAAGTTAGTCATGTGGTAAACGGTATCAATAGTCTGTGTACCTGTCACTACGGCCGAATACTGAAACGAAATACAAAAATAACGGTGTTAACTCTATATAAAAATTTACATCTATGATATTGTATGTGGCGCTTACGAAGCGGAGGGTTTAGGATTCCTCAGTATTCGGTCGTGAATCCGCTAAAACATCCCCGTTTCGTCTAACGAGTGTGCTTGTCGGAGTTTTAGTCCTCTTCCCCTTTCCATTTTAGAGCGTGCGCACACCTGCAACTAAACTTTCGCACAACTGTTTAGTCGCGCTTTGATTCCTATGAGATTATATGAAGGTGCGTATACTACTCGATTTTTAGTTGTTCAACTAAAATGAATTGGCAGCGAAACAATCGACAATTCCACAACAGTCTTGCGATAGTTTTATCTCAAGTGTGCGACCGGATAGGCATTAAAATGTAATATTTATTAATCATAATTTAAAATGATATTCTTACTGTAATTTTAAACGATTTCTCGGGTTCAAAGTATTCCCTCGCCGAATATAAACCTAAATTTCTATCTACGATTTGAACATCAATCTTTTTCACATGACGGCCGTCGAATTTTATATAAACCGAGTTTAATTCAATTGATATTTCGGCTACTGCGATGAATATGTAGTTGACGGTAACTGAAAATCACAACACAATTTATTAGTGCAGTTTTCAACAATAACAATTTCAAATAAACTAAAACGTAATAAAACATTTGTTTTGGTTAACCACAAGATACAAAAAATACAGTCGAGGAAATCTGCGTTGTTCCACTTACAGAAATATAGACTGTAACTTTAAGGTGGGACACTGCTATATTACAGAGGGTCGGTGGCTCAGTGGTTTAAGCACTTGATTTGTAATATACAGGTCTTGGGATCGAATCCCACTGTACCAATGTGATCTTCGATTTCATATGTACATAATTTACCCAACGTTCTTACGGTGCAGGAAAACATCGTGATGCCTGCACATATCTTATCATATACTTGGTGTAATTAAACAAGTGAATACAAAGTTAAAGTTACCTGGTAGAGGTAAAGGACTGGTTTCCTTCATGTTCCTCGCCAATTTAGGTGAGAAACCTAATCGAAAACTTACTTCTCTTCTTTTGTAAATTGTCATTAATGATTTCCCTCTGCTGGATATTTTCACATTATATGTTCCAAGTGATGGAGAAATAAATCTTATTACCTGTGCCAAAGATAAAACAATTAGAAATAATTCTACCATTTTCATTTTAATATTATAACGTAAAAATCATAGATATAACATTAATAACAGATCAATTTAATGAAATGTTATTGATTACTTTTACTTCGTAACAGAAATATAGATATATTTCTGTTGCCCTGTTGTTCTATATATATTTCTCAGATGAGAAACTCACCTTGGAATGCAATGTGTTAACTATTCTGTCTATTGGAGGAGTTTCGCCATTTTCGTCTATTATTTCTACATTAAGATACTCGCCAGTGACTACCATAACCAAGTATTTTGTGTAAGCATCGACTGAAATCTGTAAAAAATATTTATTACCACACATAAAGAGTATATTTCCTCCTTTCTATGCGTCTCCTCCACCGTCAAAGCCACTTTCCCTTCCCATCCTTACCGTATAAGAAAAAGATGGGAAGGGAAAGGCTAAAATTAGACCTCCGCCACCACACTCATCAAACGCAGAACTGCTTCCACTTCACGCCTGTTTTCTGTGTGGTAGTATTACACTGGGCGATCCGGCACATTCGTCCAAAGATTTTAAAGCGGGCTCTACCACTGTTAATAATAACTTGAAATATAGATAAATCAACATTTAAAAAATATCACTCACTGTAAATTGATCTCGTCCAAACGATGTTTTATTAGCAACAATCTCAGTCCAATCTGTTTTCATTATTTCTTTCATCATTCTAAATACCTGAAAGGTTACAAATTATGAATATCATTTTGAATGATTCAATAAAGAAATAAACGCCTAAATGTAGCTAATAGCTTTCGTCCGCGACTCCGTCCGCGTGGAATTAATATAGCCTATGTTACTCACAGACTTCCTTTCAAACGGTGAAAAAATTTTAAAATCGGTATAAACAAACAAAGTTTTCCTCTTTATAATATTAGTATAGATGATAAAGTGAGTGTCTAAGTTGCAGTATGCAAATTTTATTTTATTTTTACATGTATCAAATTATCAATAGCAAATGTCAAAATGACAAACCATGGCAACCTTGCTTTCTTAATGTTGGCAGCTTGCAGTTTATGGTCCCTTTCCCACATGAAGGTTTTTTTCCAATTTGTTTATCCCCCAAGTTTAATAGCGTAAAAACATATAGCCTAAAGCGTGTGGCAAGTGAAGGGCTTTTTATTAAAGAAAGGATTATTTAAAAAATAAACTGTGATTGCTGACATCCTACGCCACGAAGTAGTGTGTATTTACGCTTTATTTATTTAGTATAGAAGTATAGCTGATCCTAATTCTGAATACATACAAGAGTAATGTCAACGATTTTAATAACATGAAACACTTTTTACCTGTCGAAAGGTATACAATTGAAGTTTTACAACTGAACCGGAACAGGATCTCGCAATGTCGAAGTATGCATCTATAGTACCCACCACAGACTTGGTACCACTTTGTACACATTCTCCACTGAGAAATATTATGACCTGGAAAATAAAACAATTAGTGTAGACCCTGAATTTGGCAGTACACACCTTAATTTCCAACTGAACAGTAGGACAGTGCAGGTAATTCATATTTTTTATATAATATAAAAAGGCAAACGAACAAGCAGCCACCTGAATCCACCGAAATGGAAAGCGACGGCTGCCCATAAACATCCGCAATTGCAGACGCACATAAAGAGGACATTTCCCCTTCCTATGCGTCTACTCCACCGTCAAATCCACAATTCCTTCCCATTCTTTCATCTCAAGAAAAGGGTGGAAAAGAAAAGACGGGGGAACTTGTGAGACGAAAAACGAATTGCTTCCACTTCACGCCTGTTTTCTCTGTAGCCGTGGTGGAACCGGGCGAGCCGGTTCATTCGTGCGAAGATGTTAAAGCGGGCTCAACCACTGTTGAGTTCAAGACGGGAAAATTCTGACTGTGTACAATTCTTAGTTTTCCATACACACGTTCTTTTTAACTGCACAATCCTACTATTAAGTTGAAACAAAGTGTGTAGCGTGCTTAACACTGAATGCTGCCGCACCTAAAAGTAAATATTACCTGACTGTTTGTGGTTCGGCATAAATTTTCAACAGAGTTTAATTTGTTGTTAATGCTTGCATAACCATCGGTGAATACAAATATAATTGAATTTGGTTTGCTGATTGTCAATGCTCGCTCTATCGCGGGCATAGAATTCTCAGGACATTCATTGCCACCACCGACTTCTACTAAATTTATTACATCAACCAATTTGCTAGGTGTTTGGTAAACAAAAGAAGGACCAAAGCCTGAAATAATTAAGGTTTTATGATTACAATAATTTAATAGAACAAGGTGATGATCTAGGTTAGGTGTAGTGGTAGCTACCATTGATTTTATTTTTTAAAGTATTTAATAGTATACAACAAGATTGCCTGATTGTCACTGTAAACGTAGTAACAGCTGTCACGAGTTAGAAGGTTGCTAAACCGTTGGTTATTGATTGGTCGAGAGAACGTAAGTTCAGAAAAAAGAATATTTTTTCAAACATCTTCTGCCAAACACACCTAAAAAGTCGTACTGACTTACCGGGATCCTCGAAAGGTAACAGAATATAATTATCTATATCAAACAATGGAACTTTCACAACAGATTCAATGTTTGATTTTAAAATATCGATTTCTTCCCGCATCGATATTGTAGTATCTAATACTATAGTGAAACTCCTTTTACCATATTCATTAGCTGTTACGAAAGCTGACAAATATAACACGAAAAATATTAACATTTTTAGTACGTTCCGCATTTGCAAATGAGACGAAGTACAAACTTGTAAAGGATGACATAGTTATACTTGACTATAAATCTAACATCACAGGAGCACTTAAGGGGAAGATGCAATGGAATTGATGTTATTTAAATTTTGCGTTGGTTTTATCTAATTTTAAAACGAAATGTGTTATTTCTTTTAAATCCCTTATTTATTTTTGTTTATCGAAATATTCTACTATCATAACTGTTACTATGTAGGATTACTGTCTCTATTTATTTAAATAAAATGAGCGTGATGACAATATGATTTAATTCGTATTTTGGACGTACACCCGAAGTGAGTAAGAGTTAATTGCTAAAGAGGATGTGGGTTATTTGTTGACACTCATTACTGATATCACAATATATTACGCATTGTTCTTTTTTCCTTATTGCCTGATTGTTCTATCCTTTTACTATGTGTTGTCCGCCACTTCGTGTGCGCGGGATAAAAATAAATAATAAGTTAGCGTTCTCCCGGACTTTGTTCCACTTTATTACATAATTTCACAGAGTTCCGTAAAACCATTTTGTAGATACGTAGGAACAAACAATCCATCTAAACTTTTGCATTAATTTAATATGATAAATATAACTTCTACTTCCACTTAACAAACACGCGATGATATCTTAGTAATATGTGTTGCATACTGATAACCTTTAAATGATACATTGTTGTTACTTGATTTAGTATTAGTTTTTAGAAAATCAACCTTATTCCCTTTTACATTGAGAGCACTATCTAGTGAATAAAAGTCCTACAATATACGTTTAACTGATAGCATTATGAATAAATTATTTATATTTTGTTGCAGTTGAAAGGTACCATTCACAAAATTTTGCGGCAGAGGATGTCGGTTTTGATACCCCACAAATGTATGCAGATAAATTCTTCTTCCGTAGATATCACACTTAAAATGTAAAAATAATTTTTAGCAGCATTCATCATATTTTTACTCTGATACAACAAATACTCATCATCATTATAACTAGCCCACTTACGTCTCCACTAGAGGCTCCGAGTCTACCTTGAGTTGGTGTGTCTATGCCGTAGTCAACCACACTGCCCCACTGAGGGTTCATCATCATCATCATCATCTCCTTATCCTACTCCCGTAGGGTCGGCGCAACAGGTTTTTGTCATCCACATAACTCTATCATACGTCATCTCAGTCATCACTCCCTTTTTGATCATGTCAACTTTTACACAATCCATCCATCTCTTTTTAGGTCTACCTCTACCGATGTACCCTTCCACACTCATAACTAACGTTCTCCTTGTAACATGCGATTCATCCCTCGTCATAACATGCCCATACCATGCTAACCTTTTACTCCTTACTTTCTCTTCACACAAATATTTGAATTTCTTCGCCGTAAGAGCCTTCCTTTTTAAGAACGTCGGATAAATGCAACGATGAAATTCCAATATTGAAAAACACATTAGTATACAGTGAGATTCGAACCCAAGATTACAAGTCATGTGGTCACCCTCTGAGCCATCGATGTCCTATGTTTTGTTTTAATAAATTGGTTTTAATTTGTTATTTCAGTTGAGATAACAAATAAAAAATTAGGAGTATCATACGCGATGAAAGCGACTTTGTGTTAAATCAGAGCTAAAAAAAGTAAAGCTGATCAAGCTATTATTTGCTATTATAAGATTTAATAAAACGAAAAACCAAAGGAAACATTCAAATTTATAAAAAGTCGGTAGTAATGTTCTATAAAATTAGATGTAGGTAGTTTCTATTTTATTTTCTTAGTTATACAATAAATGCAAATTGTATTTTATCATCTAATGGTTGAGCTTAATACTAATAAATAAATGTGTTTAAATAAGGAAGTTTCCAAATGTTTATTTTTAGATACAAAGTTGTTGACTACACCTACATATCCAATTCCAGTAAACGTTTGGGTGCGTTTGATAAATCTGTGAATATTGTGGCCGCGTTCGTGAAAACAATACGTTCCCTTCAGCGTTCAGCCATGAACGAAGGACTGTACCATGTACTTGTGCTATCAATATTATTATGTCCAATCTACTCTCAAACTGTGAAGAACAGTTCCTTAATATTTGTGATTGATAATACTATTTCAATGTCAGCAGAAGTGAGAAATGTACTCAGGAGTGCTGACGGAGTATTCGACGCAGTTTACAATTCCAATAAATCGGAGATTGAAAATGTTATAATTGTTACATTTAATGATCCAGGTATTTATAACATAACATTTTAAATAGATTATAAATTATTATGAAATACTACTTTAATTAAAAATACTACTTTATAAAATTACTACTTACTTTAAGCTTACATTTCCTCGAGTTGTAGTGCAGTTCTTTTTTTGGGTATATTATACGATTAATTGAGATTTCATGGCCCGAATTTGTCATCTTCAGACCTAAAGTAGGAAAAAACCAAAGTGATTTCCCTAATTCGCCTTATGTTATTCCACAATGTTTACAATTTGTGGTAACTTTTCCGAAGAAACTATTACTCCAACAGATTAGTATTTGGCACAGTAAACTCAAACTATTTCTAGATGTATTATAAAACATTGTTTTATTTTACATAAAAAAAGTTTTTATGTCATTAGAATTTCATTGTAATACTATTTTAAAGCCGTTGGTTAGGAAATTTTAGACATACATTTTCTCATATTAGTAATCTACACATTTAGATTGTTTTTCACTTATATTCATAAGAAGGTAGTAAGTTTCGCAAGCCCTCTTAAAGCACTGTATTTGTTTTTTTCTATACCCTTGTATAAATTAATTAATAGCCAAACAATTTCAGATTTCGAATTACGTATCAAAACAAATAAGAGAGAGGATTTCAAAGAATCGTTACGGACTCTTCATATAGGTGGAGGAGGCGATTGCCCCGAAATGGCAATGTCTGGAATTGAGCTAGGCCTACAAAGTGGGGGCCCGTATTCCTATATGTTTGTTTTTACTGACGCCAGGGCCAAAGATATAAATAAGTATGAAAGAGTGAAAAATTTAGCGCTGGAATTAAATACAAAGGTAATATTTTTTTTCAATTAATCAGATATTGGAAAATTACGATTATAAATGTACTTAATGAAATACAGCCATTGAATACTGAACCTACAATAAATCGCATAAAGCTGATAATTGGTAAGCATAATTTTTATTTTTATCATGTAAACACGGTTCCCTACACACACATGCATAGTGTTCTAAGCTTTCTTACCAATTATCAGCTGTTTGCGAATTGTTGAACTTACTTAGTCGTAAATTATATGTTTTACTTTATGTAAATAACGTAAACATGTAATACTAGCTATTGCTTGCGACTACTTCCCCGTGGAGTTAAATAGTAATAAATATACACTATGTTAATCAGTGATAACGTAGCTTTTTATTGGTGAAAGATTTTTTGAAATCGGCCCAGTAGTTTTTGGGTTATTTCAAATCTTTCCTCTTTAATATACTGCTACAGAAGAATAAATGTATTACTTGTTTTAGATTACTTTCTTAGTAACGAAAATGTATTGTACAAGTGAGCCACACATGGATTTCTCAGCTTTCGTGAAGCTGGCCTATGAAACTGGCGGTGAATTCTTCTTTTTGAATAAGAATAATATACCATACGTAAGTAACTACATGATTTCACTTTTGTTAAAGAGTCCCATTTTATAACTATTTAACGTGTTATTTAACGTTTATTTTTTACTAGCTGTTCCCGCGCGGGTTCATCAGCATGAAATTATGAAAATTTTATTTTATAGTTTACATTTGTCAAATTATCGATTACAAATGTCAAAATAACATGATATAATGACAACCTTGCTTCCTTGATGTTGGCAGCAACTTAGCAACTTAGCAAGACAGCAGCGTCTCTTTCCCACATTAGGGTTTTTATCCAAAATATTTACCCCCTAAGTTTAATGCCGATAAAATATATTAAAAAAAAGAATTATTAAAAAATATACTGTAATTGCTGACATCTTAGGCAACAAAGAAGTGTGTGTTTACGCTTTATTATAATATAATAGTATAGATAAATATCTTTTTTTCAGATTATGAAATACGTGATGAAGTTAGTGGATAGTAGGAAGGTTGAAATAATGCAAAAGCAATTTAATGCGACCGATGAGAAGAAAGTTGTGGTAAGAACTTCTTAAATTTTTACATGACATAATAATAGACAGATGGCAGCTTTTGCAATTATAGTTTCCAACTTATCGACAACAAGCATTGAAAGTCTTCATCTGTAGCATTGAAAGTTACAATCTGGACACGAAAATTACACCTGATAACATACTTTGCATGTTAATTTACTACAAATTTAGACTGTAAACAATAATAAACTAACATCAGTCAGACGTGAAGTGGAAGCAATTCCACGTTTAGTCTTATGAATGTGCGTGCCGGAGGTCTAAAGTACTCTACTTCTTCCCTTTTCTACCCAGACAAAAAAGGATGAAAAGGGGAAGTGGATTTCTGATGGGACGAATAGATGGGGAAATATGATTATTCTACCCCTCCTCTGTTGATTAAGGTAGGCGAGGTACTATCTACAAATGCAGAAGCAGATGTTTTTGGACAGCGAACTCTTCACTATTTTGTAAATTCCGGTTTCACTTGCTCCTGTCACTTTATAGACAGTAGTAGAGCCCGCTTTAACATCTTTAACTCGCTCGGTGTAATACCACGACCACCAGAAAACAAGCGTGAAATAAAAGCAATTCATCTGATGAGTGTGGTCCCGGAGGCCTAATTTTACTTCCTTTCCTTTCCACCCTTTTCTTAAGAGGAAAGGAGGGGAAAGAAAAGTGGACTTGACGGTTAGAGGAGACGCATCTGCAAATGCGGATGTTTATGGGCAACGGTCGCTTTCTATTTCGGTGGATTCAGGTGGCCGCTTGCTCGTTTACTACCTTTTATGATAAAAAATACAATAAAAACATATAACTATATTATTATTATGTTTTAAGAATAAAATGACAATTTCAGGTGCCTATAGATCCTTCAATAGATAATGTTATAATGTCTGTCAATGGTGGTGCATCAAAAGTACAGGTAACAGACAAGGATAATACTACAGTAAATACACAGGCAATCACAGATGTTAAAAATTTAAAGGTAAGCAAGCAGCAAAAGAAGTAGCCAAAATAACATTCGTCATTTTGGCTACTTTTTTTGCTGACCACGATCATGATTCTATTCCACATTTGCAAAAACTATTTTGTTTTAAGTTAACTAGGTTTCTACGAATTGGTTCACAAGTTGATTTTAATTATTATGGAATGTTTAATAATAAATTAACGTTTTTTTTAACAGATAATATCATGGAATAATACAAATCCAGGAGATTACACTATAGATGTAAATAGTACGACTAACACATTACTGACAATGCATGGTTCAACTAAAGTTTCTTTCAGTTATGGCTTCTCCGTTATTAAGCCTAATAATTTCAATGAAACAGCAAATAGACCGGTTGCAGGTATTGTAAATAATTTTAATAATATAAATACTAATGAATTGCGATTTGTTTCCAAATCATCAACAGCTCACTATACGTTCCCACTTCAGGGGCTCTTGCTTACCCAAGTTAGGGGTGACTAGGGCATGGTCAACCACGCTGGCCCACTGCGAGTTGGTTGACTTCCCGTGTATCTTTGAATTTTTTCGCCGATGTGTGCAGGTTGCATCACAATGTATTTCTTCACCGTAAGGACGTCGACTAAATTATCTAAATACATAGTGGGATCGAACCCAAGACCTGTAGATTACAAGTCGAGTGCTTAAACCCCTGAGCCACCGATGCTTAAATGATTCCCATTTTAATGCCAAACGATCGGAATGGCAGACGAAAGCTAGTAAATAAATCGTTTAGATTTATTAAAAACGCTTTATTAATATTTGACGTTGTAAAATTTATTAATTTTAATAATTATAACGTCTCTTTTCCAGATCAAAAATCTTACATATTGCTAAAACTAAACACTGAAGGTGATAGAATAAACCTTCGAAGATTAGATATCGTGGATTTGAAGAACAATGTACTTTTAGATAAACTCAAGTTTGTGGCTGAGGAAGATCAGTATTATGTTTCAGATCCAATCGATTTTCCGAAAGATACTTTTAAAATAGTGGTAAATAGTTGTATTAATGAATATGAATTCAATTAAAGTAATGTAAAGTTTAGTGTATAAGTAACATTGGTCTGTGATTTCACTTAGATGGTAGCAGAGGATGAAACGATGAAGGACATAATAACACGTGCTTCTTTACCTATAGAACCGCAAAAAGTACTACCTGGTAAGTAAAGTTATTTTATATCTTAATTTACAAAAATAAAAAACAATTCCTTAAGACTGCCGATATCGAATATACAGTCGTAAAAATCTGCGGTGTTCAACTATAGAAAAAAATTTGTTTATTGCAACAGGACAAACTCTTTAGACAAAGACATTTATAATGCTTTGGTTTTTGTTCCGCGTCTCGTTTCAAAATGTTCAAACGATTGCAGTTCTTAAGGTGGACCACTGGCCACTTTTAAACTCGTCATAATTGCATCTTAGTCAATTAAGTAAAGTAATTGGTAGTTAAATACATATTCATTCCATTCCATCAGGTACTATAAAAAATGAAGCACCTACAGTTACTATATTGGGAGAAACAAAAGTCACAACCTCTGTAGGAAATCCTTTGCAACTGAAATGTAGAGCAACAGGTTATCCTAAACCCGAAATTTTATGGTATGATGTCTTCGGAAGCACCTTGACATCTACGGTAAGTCTATCACGGTATTCTTATAAAGAAAATTTTAACAATCTCTTTTTACGTTGCACATAATTAAAAACATCTTAATATATCCAGGTGTCAACTGTAAGGGAGGAATATGAATTAATAAGTGTGTTAACCATCGAGAAAGTAGAAAAAAGTAGCACTTACATTTGTAAAGCTAGCAATACCATTAACAGTGATGAGAAAAGCGTGGAAGTTGAAACAGGAGATCGTTTTACTGCAGTGAAGATTTCTAAAGGTAAAGGGGTAAATTGATTAAACATTAAATTCAAAATTAAATTTGATGTTTAATCAATTTTTGGCAAAGCTAGCAAACAAACAAGTGGCATCCTGAACTCGCAAAAGTGGTGATGTGACCGCTGCTCATAGATATTTGCAATTGAAGATATGTCTATGTTTGATCTAAGGAGCAGGTTACGCACAAGAAGATGTTTCCCCGTGCTATGCGTCCCCTCCATCTTCGAATTCACTTTCCCTTTCCATTCCTTATAAGAAAAGATAGAGACTAAAATTAGGTCTCTGGCAAGCATACTCAACGGACTAAATGCGGAATATCTTCCACTTCACGCCTGTCTTCTGTGTGGTCGTGGTATTGCACTGGGCGAACCGGTCCATTCGTTCGAATATGACAAAACGGGCTTTACCACTTTTAAAAATGGAATGGGATTAAAATGAAGCCCACATCTTATTAGGCGTAACGCAGAGATGCTTTCACTTCACATATGGTATTTTGTATTAACGCGTATATCCATAACTATTGAATTTATTATTTGGGCAAATTATATTTATTAAATTAAAATTTCCTTCTTTATATTTCACCAACAGATAAACAAATTGAGTATAATAAAGAGGAAAACATATATTGTAAGGTAAATGCTGATCCACCCGCTAAAGTTATTTGGTATTTAAATGGAAATGAAATCAAAGCAGATGATGACTTCGACATATCACCAGATACATCCACTTTAACAATAAAAAAAATGAAACCAAACTATAAGGGTACCGTTTTATGCGAAGTCCGAAACGGTGTGAAGAGACTTATGTATTCTATAAAACTATCACTTTCAAAGTCTGCCGTTGGTATGTTACCTGTGGTGTAAAATATTTATTTCAAAATCAAATAAAAAAATACCTCGTGACGTACATTTTTTTTTATTTATCATTTTACAGAGGGACCGAAAATTGATAAAAGAATAACTGAAATATTTGTGACGAGAGGGTCCAATGCAATTGTATCGTGCAGGTAATGGGAACAAGCGTATTTGTGGGAAAACAAGGAGATTTAAATGTTTATAAATATCTTTGTAGAACAACAAATAGAAGTAGTATGTTTACTCTCTTCTTTGTGAAAAAAAAACTGCTTTAAGAGAAGAAAGTAGAAGTACTTGATACAGATTCAACTAAATAGCAGAAATAAAATGTATAACTAAAGCTTCAGTTATTTGATACAAAACATTCAGAGCCTGTCCCGTCACTCGCTCGATAGAGGCTCAGCTTAAAAATGACGTCACTGTTAGATAAGGGAACAAAATACGATATTTCCATCACATATTTTACACGTCTGATTGTTATCAGACAATTAACAATTTGGTGGCACAGGCTCCTTAAAGTTTTATTTATGTTTAAGGATTTTAAAAGGGACACAAAAACCAGTTATTAAATGGTCCTTTAAAAGTAAAAATAATGACTCTTTTCATGATATTAAAGAGTATAAAGAGGACATTTCAATAGAATCAGTAAGTAACAACGACGCCGGCACCTACAAATGTGTTGCGACAAATGAAATTGCTGAGGATTCTCACGTTTTAGAATTAATTATTAATTGTAAGTAGCTTTAATATTATTTGACAAGAAAAGAATAGCAGTATAGTTAAGATAAAAATAAAAAATGACATCGTATAGCTTGCTGCTTATTTCTTCTGCAGGCTATCCTTGAATCTTAAAATCTTTGCATGGGCCCACTTTACTCCTAGTGTTAACCGACATTCGTCGAATATTGTTCCAAAATTCTTTAACCTTTTGATGCTATGTGATGATTTACTTACCAATTATATATTTATTTTTCAGATGCTCCAGTCGTCGAAGGTCAAAACAATGTTACTATCATTCAAGAAGCCGGACGAAATATTTTAGTAACCTGTGATATAAAAGGAGAGCCAGCCCCGACTATTAACTGGTTTTTTAATGGTCTAATGATCCTGAACTTGGAGCCTTATCAAATAGACAACCATAACACTTTAAGGTTAGATTATTTATTAAATTAAACCAAAGTTATTTAGATATAATAATTTAGATTCTAAGTAGGGCATAAAAATAAAGAAGATTTTTTTTAGAGTAAACGAGGCCAAATTTATAGAGAGGTGTCTAAATAATAATAATTAATAATGTTTAAAAGTAGTTTTCACTAATTTTCAACCAACAAAACCAAAGTTTCAACCAATTAGACAGTAGTCAGTTGCACAAAGAAAAGGAAAACATTAAACTGCTATTAACTATGTACTAATGACTTTTTCTTGCAGTTACATCTTTGGACAGTGCCAGATTCCAAATTGTATACTGCCATGAGATAATTAAACAATACTTGTTAATTGCAATACTTTAAAATATTTAATCAATGTATTTTTCTTTTTTAATAATCATCATCATCTTCCTCCTTATCCAACAAGATTTTTTCCTCCACATAACTCTATCATACGTCATCTCCGTCATCACTCCCTTCTTGATCATGTCACCTTTCACACAATCCATCCATCTCTTTCTAGTCTACCCCTACTGATGTACCCTTCCACATTTATTCTTCCTGTTTTTTTTATGCAATATATAATGACTATTTTTAATTACTGTAATTAGTCACGCAAATTTGCCGTTTAAAATATGTAGGTAGTTATTTACTTTTAGATTGAAATATTTTGTTTTACAGTTTTGAGGCGTCTGTTGACAATATGGGACAATATTCATGTGAAGGTGTTAATAAATTAGGATCCGTTAAAAAGATTGCAAACATAAATGTATTTGGTAAGTTTAAAAATAGATGTTTCTACTTCGTATCACCTGAACGTCTAAACGAATCTCACTGAAATTTGATACAAATGTAGAACATAGTTTGAAGAAACACGTAGGATACTAAAGCTTAACTGTGCACGAATAGAGTTCCGGACGACGGCTAATTTTATAATTTCGCTTACAAAGGGAAATATTAAAACACTAGCTGTTCTCGTGCGGCTTCATCCACATAAAATTATGAAAATTTTATTTCATTGTTTACATTTGTCAAATTGTCAATTACAAAAGTCAAAATGACATGATGACTACCTTGCATCCTTGATGTTAGCAGCAACTTATGGTCTCTTCCCCACATTAGGGTTTTTATCCAAAATATTTACCTCCTAAGTTTAATGGCGTTAAAATATATAGCCTTAAGCGTGACGCAAGTGTAGAACTTTCTATAAAATAAAAATATTCAAAAATATGCTGTAATTGCTGTCATAGGCAACAGAGAAGTGTGTGTTTACGCTTTATTATAATTATAATATATTTAAACATGGTTTGTTAATTTTAATTTTCAGAGAAACCTAGGCTGACCAAAAATTCAAGTGTAGAGACAAAGAATATTGAGTTTGGAGAGCCGTTAAATTTAATTTGCCCAGTCAAAGGATATCCAACACCAAAAATACAATGGTCATTCGTTTCATTTGACGGTAATCCGAGGAACGTAAGGTAAAGATTTTTAACTAGGTCTTTTTGACCCTCTTGGTGGGCGTTATCGAGTGCGACTGTGGAGAGTCCCGAGATATCCGAAGGAACGCATCATGACTCATTACACTGGGATTCTATACGAAGCTGGGGAGACGGAATTCTCCAGTTGAACTAGCAACTATAAAGTGATCTGGGTACGAATTCCGCAATGTACCAATATCATGTTTTTCCACATTTTCACGGTGAAGGAAAATATCCTGATGCAACCTGCTCATATCGGCGTAGAAATTCTATCCTCTATCCTCCGCACACTATCCTCCACAAGTATGCCAAATTTTATGGAGATCCGTCCAGTAATTTAGGCCTCAAAATCTAAGGAACTTCCATCCATCTGAACATTCGCATTTATAATATTAGTAAGAAATAGGATTGAAAGATATTGAATTCCATATTTCGCGAACATAATGTAATTTTATAGTTGATAACGAGATTTTTTTTAGTAGTTAGTAGTCATTTGTTTCAAAATTCAAAGTTAAGGGTACATTGTCAAATTTAAATGGATCGAGAATATAAAAAGATAATATTTCTATTTCCTACATTAAGATGGATGTGTGGGGTAACACGAATGGATAAGATACGAAATGAGTATATTAGAGGAAGTTTGAGAGTAGCCCCCGTAGTAGAGAAGGTAAGAAGTAAAAGGTTAGCATGGTATGGGCATGTTATGAGGAGGGATGAATCGCACGTTACAAGGAGAACGTTAGATATGAGTGTGGAAGGGTACACCGGTAGAGGTAGACCTAGAAAGAGATGGATGGATTGTGTAAAAGGCGACATGATCAAAAAAGGGAGTGATGACTGAGATGACGTATGATAGAGTTATGTGGAGGACAAAAACCTGTTGCGCCGACCCTACGGGAGTAGGATAAGGAGATGATGATGATGATTTCTATTTCCTATACATCCACAAATCAACTTTTGTTACAGAAATATTAGCAGCAATGGTCAGATACAAATTCCAGAGGCTACTATGAATGACGACGGTTACTATACTTGCATTGTAAATGATTATGATAGTGAAATAAAATATTTGTTCGAAGTTAACGTTAAAAGTAAGAATTTAATAATGATACTATTTATTTATTTTACACTTCGTTGTGCTTTAATACTTAAAAGAGCGAATAATCGTTCTTTTACTATAATTAAAACTAAATACATATTTATTAATGACTAACTTTAGCTCGCGAGACCGTCCGCATGGAATTAAAAAAGTAATTAGCTTATGTGTTCCTCCAGACTATCCTCTACAACTGAGTTAAATTTCATCGAGATTTGTTCAGCCGTTTAGGCCACAAACTCTAATAAACATTCATCCATCTAAAATTACGCATTTATAATATTAGTAAAATTAATAAACTTTTAATTATTAATACAGGCTTACCTTTTCATTATATGAAGAAAATACAGCGTATATTTCTTGACTTCAGTATATATGTATAGCTTTTTGCATTGCTTAATTTAAAACATGCGTTAAATTTAAAACTTTTCACAGAATCAATCAAAAGGACACCAAAGAAAATTGAAGCTATTGAAGGCGATAAGTATTTAAAAATACCGTGTAAACGTGCTGCAGAGCTAAATTCAACAATAACATGGTACAAAAACGACGCACCCATAATTATAGGTCAGAATTTACAATGTCATTTATTGTATATAGCTATTGACCGCAAGTTTGTTTGCGCTCAATTAAAAAAAAAATAAGGAATAGATTATACAGTGGCAGACCTTTCTTTAACATCTTCACACAAATGATCCGAACTCGCCTGATGTAATACCACGACCACACAGAAGACAGGCGTGTAGTGTGAACTGAGAGGGCCATGCGCGACAGGTCGGGGGACCAGTCGCGCCGAATGTGGCGGATGTGCCCCCTCTCGTGTTCCGAGGGGGCCATCATCGTAGGGT